TAAAATAATAAAAAGATATAAAAATTAAAAATTAAAAGAACTAATTCAATTTGTAATAAATATATTTACTCATTTCATGCTATGTCACATTGAATAAAGCAGTATATACATATTCATTCATTTGATATCATAACACTCTATAATTAGGATAATTAGGACACGTGAAGTTTACATTTGAAACTGAACTACCAAAGCAACACTACATATATAAAAACGAAGTATACGAGATAAAATCCTTTCGTAATCAAGAGTGGAAAATTTAGGATTACTATCTGGCAGATGAGCACAGACCTTTTTCTTTATGGAACCTAAAGCTTCCAGTAAATTCGAAGCCAATGCAAAATGCCTGCAACGACACCCCAGAACAGTATCTCTGCAAATATAACGTAGAGTAGAACACCAACTCGTTGTGAATGCCACACTCCGATGAAAATGTGCTTCTTAATCCAGTATATCTGTCAGAGATTAGTTCAAAGTTAGAATGAACATTTGGATTAAGAGTGAAAAGGTTAATTTCATAGTCATAACAGAGAGATATTCACCAGTGTGTTATGTGGATCTTCGTAATACCATCCATTAATGAAACCTGCAAATATGCCTTCAGCTGCCAGGACATATACCAGCAAAGCATTCATACCAATCCATTTTAAGGGCAGAAAGACATGCTTCAAATTCTGAATATCAACCTGGTTAAAAAAAAAAAAAACTCTGGTAAGCAGAATAGTGACGTCAGGTTAAACTAAAGTGGGAAAAGAATAACACCATCAAACAGCACAATCAGTAAACTCATATGAGAACCCAATGGGGTGGCTCAACAGTTAAGAACTTGAGATTCCAAGTTGGAGATTTCAAGTTCGAACCTTGAGTTGCGTGGGGAGGGATTTGGGAATAGGAGAGGGTTATCCCCTCTTGTATAACCCATAATCAAATGTACCAAAAAAAGTAAAGTCATATGGGGATTGGGGGATATTGATGTTATCATGAGCATTCTTTTGCTGGTTCGAGCAAGTATCTAACACCTCATTTTTTACTAAAGAATAATGTAAGCACTAAATCAGGACAATGCAATTTGGAAACAGCGAGATTTGTACAAATAAGGACATAACCTTTATAAAAAATTTTAATTAAGGATATGACCCTTACTCATTACTAGTTGAGGCTACCACCTTTCAAAAGTTTCTAATCAAAGATATAATCTTTTCAATTTACCAATCAAGGCTACAACCTTTCAAAATTTTCTAATCAAGGATATAATGATACACATCCAATTAATCCTTCTTTGGAAAAATCATAAAGGTTATATCCTTAATTAGAAATTTTTGAGAGGTGGTAGCCTTGATGAGGGAGAAAATAAGGTCATATCCTTAATTAAAAAATTTCTGAAAAGTTATGTCCTTATTTCTATGAAATCTCAAACAGCAGCATACCAGAATATATATTGTTGTGAAAACCAGTGCTGCTGTTCCTGATGTGAGACAAACATAGCTAAAAGTGTAGAGTTGTTTATTTAAAGGAATTGCTGCAACAAGAAAAAGGAAAATTAAAGTAGATAAATATAAAAAACAGATCTTAGATAAAATCTTAGATAACAATGAATATAAGTTTTGACAGCTTCACTTTTCTCACCATGTGTGAAATGTAGAATGAGTCCTAAAACAAGGAAAAAAAGTCCCATGATGATCCAATGCTTCAATCTAGCAGAATGACCCTGGAAGTGCAAATTTATCAAGGAAATGAAGCTTAAAGCTTGAAATGTTGACTTTGAACCAAGTAGCATAAAACTAACCTTCAAGTATATAAGCACATGCCCAAAATGTGCTCCAATAATTGTGGAAAGAAGGGAAGATATTGAACTGCAATCAACACATAGTCATTCATTCAATATAATAACTGAATAAATATGAAGCATTAGCATGGAACTCTTGCTCCTCCAAGATGCATTTAAAGTGAAAAGGATGCAGAAAAAAACCTTAGGATCCCTTCCGGTTCAAAAGGGGCATGACACCATGATGGAGCACCTTTTCTTAATGGACCCTCATATGGGGAATTCTCAGTGCAGGCCTGCAGCACATCAAAGAAGATTAAAGGTTTCATATTGCTCACTTACAAATGTAGATGACCTATAGATAGAATCACTACAAAACGCACCTTAGATCTTCTCCATGCAGGATGTTGGTACATGTGATTGATTCCTAGCACTGATCTGTCTATTAATCCCACTGCATTACAAGGAGGATCGAGTTTTCCTCTCACTCTGCAGGTTACCTAAACTTGGTTACAAAATTAGAGAGATCAATAGGTTATCCATCATAGCATAATACCTTTGAAGGCCACAATTGCACAGAAGAAGGAAATAATCACTAAATAATGTGAAATCTCACAAAAGACTTTTTCTTATTTTTATCATTACAAGTATCACTGAACTGCTAAAAAGTTTACAATGTTTTTATATGTTCAATAACTATAACCCTGATGGTCCCAAGCTTTAATATCAAACAGATATATATAAAAACAAAGCACTGTCTGTCCTATAAGGAGAAGTTAAAGCATCTGTAGCATAGTTTAAGGGCAAAGAGGGCTTACAGGGAAAACCTTCCCATAATCAGCACTATCCTTGTTATGGACAGTGAAATGCCAATCAGGAACATATATTCCATACATAAAAGCAGAGTAAACAATAATTGAAAATGCACCCATTGCCCTGCAGATTGAGATACAGAAGGTTATTAATAAACATTATACTTATAGGATGCAATTTTGAGTCGAAGACCAAGAAAAAGCCTATATGCACTGACCAATGCCGACAGTGACACTTGAATATAGAGAAGTGGCCATGTAAAAGAACCTTGCTTGCTCCATCTTTTAGAAAGATCTCCAAAATAGCCACCAACAAGTATGAGAAAGCTATTCTCTGCCAAGAGTAAATTGATCATTACTACACAGATTAAGCCCTAAAAAAAAAAAAAAAGAACTAAATCATGCCATAAACACCAACAAAAAATAAATAAATAAACTTACCTGCAAAATTCCACCGATTCTTATCATTTTCATATCAACCCCATAAGTTAGTTCATCAGGAGCATGAGAAAACCCCCCTTCACAACATAACTATGAAAAGTTAGGAGATTGATTCCAGAAATAGTTAATTTTAATACATTTCATTGTGAAATTTCTAATATCGGTGAGAAAGAAAATGAAACTAACCTTGTAACAAAAGGCCCAACAAGAAGAGCTTCAAAGTCCTAAAAATCACCTTCCCGAAAGCTTCGCGTCGTCTTGATACCCTCTACATGAAAAATTAACCATAATAATGGCAATAAAAAAATTAAAAAGTTAACTTAAAACTCCATCTGAAGCAGAACCAGAATTGAATAATGACCAATTTTCCTATTATATATCATTTTCAGAAGGAAAATAAAACTTGGTAATGGGTATACTAATTAACTCTTCTTTCTACTTTTCATTTCATTTTTGTCACAGTGAAACCAACCTTAAGAGCAAGTGGAATAGCCATGCCCACGATGAAGAGGAAAAAGGGCATCACAAAATCAGCAAGATTGCAACCATGCCACGGCGCGTGAGCAATAGCTGGCCACTCCCCTCCAGCATCATCCACTAAAATCATAAGCTGCAACCAAATGTTTCCAACATGAACCCATGAATATTGAAGTAACAGAAGAAACAAAGGGAAATAGAGGATGGGAAGGGTACCGCCACGGTGATGCCTCTGAAGATGTCGAGGGAGGCAACACGTTGAGTTCTACGGGGCTCCTCGTCGGAGATATCAGCCTCGGAAACGAGGTGGAAAGTGGGTTCAGCTTTGATTTCTGCCATTTTTGAGTTCTGGGTGAGAATCCAGTAGTCGGAATGATAAGGTTAATTAGAGTGGTTAAGTGTGCTGCGAGGAAGAAATCTGTCTGCGCAAGAAAAGGTGATGACTTTGCGTTTCACCTTTTTGTCTGTGTCGGACACCCCGTGGGAAAATTAAAACACGGGCTAATTACAAAGCACCCTTTTTTAAGTGAACGTTCTAGATGAAAATGCTACCTAAGATATTTGTAGGTTTTTTTTTTTTTTTTTGTAATCTCGATTATACTATGAAAGTTAATTATTTTTTATTTTTTATTTTATTTTAATTATATGTTGTAAAATTTATATTTAAAATTTTTTATTTTTAATGAAGAAAATTTTTAAATTATTTAGGTCCTTGTATCAAAATATTTGTAGTTATATCTCTGAAATAATTATTGATATTTATTATTTAAGAAAAAGTTATTTATATAATATATTTATATAAAATTTTAAATATTTATTTTTTAATTTTAGTGATTGAAATTTATTATAATTTTTTAAATAAAAATAATAATTATGTTTAATATATATGAATAAATTTTAATTATTAAAATAAAAAAATAAATAATTGAGATTTTATGTAAATATAATATATTAAATTTATGTATAAATGATTTCTACTCTTATTATTTACTCTTTTCATCCCATAATAATTGTTATTGGTTTACCCTTTTTTCTAAATTAGGATTTTGGGAGTATTTATCTCTATTATCTTTAGTAAAAAAAATAAAGTAAAATTTTTTTATAATAAAATAATTAATCAAAATAAATAAATAATAAAAAAATTAGAATACAAAAAAATATTTATTTACTTTAAAAATAACAATTAATTTAAAATAAGCTCAAAAATAACTATTTTGAGATTAAAAAATAATAAATTAAATTAGTTTATAAATAAAATTTTTCCAATCATTATAATTATTTGTTTAAAAAAATTACAAATGTCAGTTAAATTTTGGTGGCATTAATAAAACAATCAACAGCCATACCTACACCTTTAAAAAATCATTTAAATAGCATTAATAATTATTGCTCAGGCTTATTTATTATAAGAATTTAATTGATCTTATAAATATTTTTATAATTTTTTTTTGTACAAATCAATTTAAAAATCAACCACCTTAATTAAAAATATTTTTTTGTTAATAATTATTTGAAATATTTGAAAAAACTGTTTGCATGTGCACATACCGACAACAATAGAAAAAATATGGACTTAGTCCCATTATGGTGTGGTCTATTAGCTACAGCCTAAAGGGGATATCACCTGTTGATTCACCAATCAAAATAGTTGAATATATAAGACTCTTCTTTTGTCTCTCTATTTCCCAGGGACGCTTACGACCTTCAACTTGACTTTGAATTCTCTGCAAGCACCCGAGCTGAATTTTGAAGGGTGTACAGCGACCTGACTTTAAATTATCTGCAAGAACTCGAATTATAAATTTTTAAGTTAATCTGCATTAAAAGAAAGTGTTGGAATGTTTGTGAAAAAATTTTGATATTATTGATGAATTAATGTGTATAGATAATTTATTAAAAGTATTTAAATAATTATATAGATATTTATGTATTTTTTCTCACTAGCCAATTTGAAGAGTACTTTTTTTGTTTATTAAATGTGCTTGCATTTTTATTTGCTTCAAAAAATCTAACTTTTCAAATTTGTTTCAAACCTCATCTTAATTTTATTAGTTTTAGTTTTATTTTTATTTTCTTGGCAAAACCATAAGTTAAGCCCCTGATGCAAAAAAAAAAAAAAAAGTAAATGATTTAGGAAAACT